ATTGTCAGAGAGGGAGATATCTTTGATTGCTATTTAACTGAAGTTTGAGCTGCAGGAGAAATACTCATACCCTTGCTCAAAGTTAATGGGGACATTGTTCTCGGTATAAAGGTTTTCATTGATTTCTAAGCAAAACATTTATTTCCGTAAGGGTTTGACTGAGGTTTAAATGAGAGCTGCTCTGCCAAGAATTTTCCGTGTTACATTCATTGATCATGGCCGGAATCGCCATGTGACTGTTAGTACATGTATTGCTTTTTGTGACATGTAATAACATCTGGAACAAATTGTGTGCTGTTAGGAAATGTAGTCGTCAAAATAATAGAGATTCTCTGAAAGCAACAATAAATCTGCTTTTGTTACTCTCTGACAGTTCTCTATACAGCATCAAATGATCTTTAGAATCCAAGGTTCAGCTATCAATGTCATTATCCTTGGATTTTAGAGGTGCCCATATATAGCTACATAACCTTTTCCATACACTGTATGAAACAGGTGCATGATGCCCTTTGGGCTCCTTGAGATCCCCCCATCAGAAGGTACACTTGTGTGTTAATCTAGATACATAGTGACCCAGTTATTGTTGGACTAACTGCTGTTCAATAGACATTGTACGGTCTAGCCGAGGTGGCCTGCTTTGAACTGATGCCAGGGAGTATAAGATGGAATTTTGATGTCTTGTAACATAACAGTACAAAGATTGGGCTAAAAGATACATTTTGGAAGCATCAATTGTACAAGGGTTATTGGAAAAGTGGAAAAAGAATGTTCTTTATATGTAATCAAATACTAGAAAATCAGTACTGAAAAAACCAATAAATATTACATGTTTTAAATACGATAAGAACTTATAATTATAATCCAATACTAGACCAAACTGTGGCTAATTAATTTTATAAGCTGCTTGTGGAGATTTTAGAAATATAAGCTCGAACAATTAATATGTTATACTAAGCACAAATGGTAAGGTGCTAATATTTCCTGGAATTCTTGTTCTTACTCTGAAATAAAATAACCAAGTAATGTTTTGAAAAAAAGAAAGAATTTGTTCTTACAACCTTTTCTGTTGAAGCAATCAGTATGCATTTAGGAGTCTGGAATACATTTTTAGCTCACCTGGCCCGAAGGGCCAAGTGAGCTTATCCCATGGTGCAGCGTCCGGCGTCCGGCGTCCGGCAACTTTTTCCTTTAAAATGCTACTTGTCCTGAATGGCTCAGAGGATTTTGACCAAATTTGGTCAGGAGCATCATTGGCCAAAGGGTTCTCAGTTTTGTATAAACGGAGGGTATAACCCCCCTTGGGGCAGAGGGGCGGGGCCAAATAGGGGGAAAATAGGTAAATCTTTAAAAATCTTCTTCTTCTCAACCAATAGAAGGATTTTGACCAAATTTGTCCTAGAGCATCTTTGGACAAAGGAGACTCAAGTTTGTATAAACGGAGGGTGTGGCCTCTTTGGGGGCAGAGGGGCGGGGCCAAATAGGGGAAGTAGAGGATTTTTTCTCTCCTACTATACAAGTGAAGGGATTTAAACCAAATGCAGTCTGAAGCTTGGTCAGGAGCATCATTGGCCAAAGGGTTCTCAGTTTTGTATAAACGGACGGTATAGCCCCCCCTCGGGGCAGAGGGGCGGGGCTAAATAAGGGGAAAAAAGGTAAATCTTTAAAAATGTTCTTCTTCTCAACCAATTGAAGGATTTTGACCAAATTTGTCCTAGAGCATCTTTGGACAAAGAAGACTCAAGTTTGTATAAACGGAGGGTGTGGCCCCTCTGGGGGCGGAGGGGCGGGGCCCAATAGGGGAAATAGAGGATTTTTTTTCTCCTGCTATACAAGTGAAGGGATTTTAACCAAATGCAGTCTGAAGCATGATTAGGGACAAAAGAATCAATTTTGTATAAACTGAGGTGTGTGGGCCTCCTTCTAAGGGCAGATGGGTGGGGCCCATTAGGGGAAATAGAGGAAAACATCAAATATCCTTCTCCTTTTGTACCGATGAAGGGATTTTGACCAAATTTGGTCTGGAGCATCATTGGCCAAAGGGTTCTCAGTTTTGTATGAACGGAGGGTATGGTCCCCCTGGGGGCAGAGGGACGGGGCCAAATAGGGGAAAATAGGTAAATCTTTAAAAATCTTCTCCTCAACCAATTGAAGGATTTTGACCAAATTTGTCCTAGAGCATCTTTGGACAAAGGAGACTCAAGTTTGTATAAACGGAGGGTGTGGGCCTTCTGGCGGCATAGGAGCGGGGCCCAATAGGGGAAATAGAGGATTTTTTTTCTCCTACTATACAAGTGAAGGGATTTAAACCAAATGCAGTCTGAAGCATGCTTAGGGAGAAAAGAATCAATTTTGTTTAAACTGAGGTGTGTGGATTCCCCTTCTTTGGGGCAGATTAGTGGGGCCCATTAGGGGAAATAGAGGAAAACATTAAAGATCCTTCTCCTTCTGTACCGTTGAAGGGATTTTAACCTAACCAAACTTGTTTTAGAGAATCTTTGGGCAAAGGGAATTGAATATTTATAAATGGAAGATGCAACTTTGTTACTTGTACTCCTTTGATAAACCTGAATGGTACTCAGCAGGTTTTAAATTGAAAAATAAAATACCAGGTGAGCTATTAAGGCCCCTGGGCCTCTTGTCTTGTAAATAGTATGATGCATAGAAGATTAAAACTTTGGCCAAAACAAACACCTGACTCTCCATTGGAATGGTGTATTTACAGTGATCTGTCTGATCCTGTACATGGTTTTAGAATCAGCTAGCCATGAAATGTAGCACAGTGAAGCTGCCAGTCTGCCTGGTGATATATTTCTGTTTTGATTAATGGTAATGAGCTAGTCATGATGAGGCTATCAAATTTCTCGTTGCTGATGTATTTTGACATTTCCCTCCTCATAAAACATGAGACAGGGAGTAAATTTTTATCAATTTTCTCTACAATTAGAAGTCAACAGAAATGGGATATATAGTAGAAATAATTTAAGGTTGGTGATTTTATCCTGATTTCTCTAATCTGTTATTCAGATGTCAGAGGTCAGACAGATAGTGGGTGTAAACCACTCGAATTGCATTAAAATGTGCTTGTAGTCTTTGCTAATTTTATGGTAGTGTGGAATTAAATTGTGTGTACGTAATTAATCGCCTAAATGGGTAAAGTTTAGGTACTGTGTCTGCCCTTTCCACTAAAAGTCTCATGACTTAGACTAGACTTGTTTAAAAAATGTAAAAAAAACACCAGAAAGGTTTTTAAAAAAGAAAAAAGAAAGAATTTGGGTGTAAAACAATCACCGCATTGTCTCAGAAGATAGTCAGTCACCAATTCTCATATAATATCAATTAAGATAAGGATCTATGGTAAGAAAACTTCAAGTGTATTCCGACTTTCCTTCCTTGGGTAGTGCGTATGTACAAATTTCTGTTAGAAATTTTAATGGCACCTACGACACTGTATTTCAATTAGACTTGAGGGCACACTGAACTCCGGATCCTTTATCTGTAATTCGGTATTATTTGGTGTTTAGATCTCAAGACATGTCTGTCGTCACCTTTCTAAAGGATAAGGGTTTTGTGGAGATTGGTTTTTCCTCAGAATCTTTTTGAATCTGTTCAGGTTTAAGAGTGTAGATTTTCTGAGCCATTAGAGGAGAGATAAGGTTAATTTATTAGTGAGAAACTGTCTGGCTTACTGAGAATGGATCCTCGGGGCTGTAAATAATTAACACATGTATTTTGGAGAAGTCTGAAGGTACAAGAGTGTTGTTTGCCATGTGGTACGGTATAGGTTGTATACATTATGTTGCCTAATGATATGACATGTGTTTTAAATCATAGAAGACTTTCACATATCATAAGCTTGTTTATATATATATAGCAAATATATTTCACCCAGCTGTGATATATACTTGAAGAAAAAAAATTATTCATAAGTTTTTTGGTGTTACCTATTTTTAGCTCACCTAATCCAGGACTATACATGGTAAAGAGTTAATTTGAATACCATCATTCCAGTCAACCTATATACACTGTATTATTGCCAATCTCTTGAAATATTTTATCAAGTCACTCTTTACATTGCTCTTTATCAATGTTCGGCTACTATCCAGGAATTATGAATGCACAGCATCAAAATGAGAGATGAGTACTTTACAAGGGAAGTAGCTCATGAAGTTTCTTCATTTTCTATAAGTGAAAATATGTACAAAAAGCATAAGGGAGTTTATGTATAAAGAGCAGTCGGTGGTACCATTGACCTTAAATGAGCTTATGCCATGGCATGGTATCTGTCTGCCATCCACTCTTCCATTAGTCTGTCATCATTTGTCAACTTTTTATATAAAATGGTCAAAAAGAATTTGATATTTTATAAATAAAGGGTTGGGGCCCTTTGTCCCCTTCCTGAGGTGGAGTGATAAGGTCTGTTGGGAGATTGGAGTAAACATTTGAAAGACTGCTCCTTAAATACAGTTTTGACTGGGTATTGAACACCCCTGGAAAAAGAAGAATGCATGTTGCATTAATCATTGTGTATCACAGATCATGAGACTGGCTTAAGCTAATAGTATTAATGGGGAAAACATGTATATATGACTTTATTTGTTTGAAGTTAAACTGTTATGAATCATTGCTGTTAACAACAGATTACTTAGCTGTACATGAATGATGGGTGTGGCCTATCATGGAGCAAAGATCCAGGGGATGATACATTTTCACTTTTCCTTTCCAGTTATTCCAAATATTATCAAGATAAAGGTGCAGAGAAAAAACCCATAAACAAAATAAGTTTCCTTTTACAAAACTATACAAGGTTTCCTTATGACTTTATGAGCCATAATTTAAAACTATAACTTCCAAAAAGATTTGATGGCGTTTTGTATTAGGGTGTGAAAAGGTTCTATTTTCCTGTGGTGATGTATATTTGTGTATTTTTTTATCACTTGAAAGTTTTGATCTTATTTCAGGAGAAAAGATGTTTATTTTGAATCCCTATTTATGTCTTTCAGTCCCAGGGAAGAAGTGAAATCATGATGACCTTGGAGAAAGTTGTGGGAGGTGTGGGATCGGCAGGAAGTGGCACATTTAAGGATGTATACAAAGCTACCAAACAATGCATGACTGACCGGTCTATGTCTGTGAGATTTGCTGCTGCTAAGGTAGGTAACCCTCACTGACTTAACTTCTCAGGTTAGGCAATCCTCACAGACTAAACTTCACATGGTAGGTAACCCTAACTGACTAAAATTCACATGGTAGGCAACCCCCACTCACAAAACTTCACATGGTAGGTTACCCTCACTGACTAAAACTTCACAGACTAAACTTCACATGGTAGGGAACCCTCACTGACTAAACATTTTAGGATAGGCAACCCCCACTGACTAAACATTTTAGGATAGGCAACCCTCACTGACTAAACATTTTAGGATAGGCAATCCTCACAGACTAAACTTCACATGGTAGGCAACCCTCACTGACTAAACATTTTAGGATAGGCAACCCCCACTGACTAAACATTTTAGGATAGGCAACCCTCACTGACTAAACATTTTAGGATAGGCAACCCTCACTGACTAAACATTTTAGGATAGGCAACCCCCACTGACTAAACATTTTAGGATAGGCAACCCTCACTGACTAAACATTTTAGGATAGGCAACCCTCACTGACTAAACATTTTAGGATAGGCAATCCTCACAGACTAAACTTCACATGGCAGGTAACCCTCACTGACTAAACTTCACAGACTAAACTTCACATGGTAGGCAAACCTCACTGACTAATCTTCACAGACTAAACTTCACATGGTAGGGAACCCTCACTGACTAAAATTCACATGGTAGGCAACCCCCACTGACAAAACTTCACATGGTAGGTTACCCTCACTGACTAAAACTTCACAGACTAAACTTCACATGGTAGGTAACCCTAACTGACTAAAATTCACATGGTAGGCAACCCCCACTCACAAAACTTCACATGGTAGGTTACCCTCACTGACTAAAACTTCACAGACTAAACTTCACATGGTAGGTAACCCTCACTGCCTAAACATTTTAGGATAGGCACCCCTCACTGACTAACCATTTTAGGATAGGCAACCCTCACTGACTAAACATTTTAGGATAGGCAATCCTCACAGACTAAACTTCACATGGTAGGTCACCCTCACTGACTAAACATTTTAGGATAGGCAACCCTCACTGACTAAACATTTTAGGATAGGCAACCCCCACTGACTAAACATTTTAGGATAGGCAACCCTCACTGACTAAACATTTTAGGATAGGCAACCCTCACTGACTAAACATTTTAGGATAGGCAATCCTCACAGGCTAAACTTCACATGGTAGGTAACCCTCACTGACTAAAATTCACATGGTAGGCAACCCCCACTGACAAAACTTCACATGGTAGGTTACCCTCACTGACTAAAACTTCACAGACTAAACTTCACATGGTAGGTAACCCTCACTGGCTAATCTTCACAGACTAAACTTCACATGGTACGGAACCCTCACAGACTCAACTTTTCAGAGTAGGAAACCCTCACTGACAAAACATCGGGGTTGGACAACCCTTACTCACTAAACTTCAAGTGGAAGGAAAACCTTACAGATTAAACTTCTCATAGTAGGTAACCCTCACAGTCTTTACTTTTCATAGTAGATAACCCTCACTGACTAAACTTCTCATAGTAGGTAACCCTCACTGACTAAACTTCTCATAGTAGGTAACCCTCACAGACTTAACTTTTCATAGTAGGTAATCCTCACAGACTTAACCTCTCATAGTATGTAACCCTCATGGACTGAACTTCTCATAGTAGGTAACCCTAACAGACTAAACTTTTCATAGTAGGTAACCCTCACAGACTAAACTTCTCATAGTAGGTAACCCTCCCAGACTTAACTTCTCATAGTAGGTAACCCTCACAGACTTAACTTCTCATAGTAGGTAACCCTCGCAGACTTAACTTTTCATAGTAGGTAACCCTCACAGACTTAACTTCTCTTAGTAGGTAACCCTCACAGACTTAACTTCTCATAGTAGGTAACCCTCACAGACTTAACCTCTCATTGTATGTAACCCTCATGAACTGAACTTCTTAAAGTAGGTAATCCATACCCACTATCCTACAGTGATCAACAGACCTTCCCCAACTTACTCACACTGATCAGCACAGGTGCAGCCTATTATCTAATTAGCTAATTAGTGATTACTCAAGGATGACAAAGTGCAGATGTAAAATTTGGCATTATTTCGGAGCTATAATTCAGTATATGTACAGCCAGGTTATATGTTAGAGCTGACTACCTTCTGTGAACGTGTCTTAGCTAGGTGATACAGGCGCTGAGTAACTCATTGTCTCATTATAGAATTAGGCCATTATCACTCGGCTAATTGACACAAATTTAGCCAATGACGTAATGCTAAGTTTTTTTGTTAAGTTAATGAGCTAGAGTTGTTCATACATTTATATCTTGGATGTTTAATATAAAAGTTTATGCTAAGGTTAACTTCAGTTGTGATATTTCCTCTAATGTTAAATTACAGTAATGTACCTGTTTTTCATTAAATCAGACTTTCTGATGCACACAGCACTTGCTTCTTCATTGTAAACTTAAGTTACAAAAGTGTAAATGTTCGAAGAAATTACCTCATTTGAATCACACTGATTTCTGTGAGAATTTTCAGAATAAGGCATTGAATTAACTTTTATATAATATATTCTTTTGAATGTTCTGTATATATGTTTAATGCATACAGCCCAATAAATTTGCATGTACACGATGTTTATAAAATAACGTTGAAAGGCTTTCACAATATAAAAAAAGGAATGTATTTGGTAAAGGTGCATTTTTGTACCATTATGGGTAATTCATGGATTTGTTTACTTTGTTGCTTACATGTTCATTTAATATTTGTATTTTCAAAGCAATTTCATTAACAAGGTATTTACATAGGTATACTAATATAGATGTTATGTATAACTTATGTTTGTAGTTTGAAGTATATAATGTATCAGATTGTAAACAAGGTAATAATGTGTTTATATGCTTAAATATTCTGAAAGTTGCCCCATTAATCTGTGCTTGTATTGTATATGTATAATTGTGAAGGTCAGATATACTATTTTAGATGTTACCCTGTAAATCTTTTGTCTGTGGGTAGATGTTACCCTGTAAATCTTTTGTCTGTGGGTAGATGTTACCCTGTAAATCTTTTGTCTGCGGTTAGATGTTACCCTGTAAATCTTTTGTCTGCGGTTAGATGTTACCCTGTAAATCTTTTGTCTGCGGGTAGATGTTACCTTGTAAATCTTTTGTCTGTGGGTAGATGTTACCCTGTAAATCTTTTGTCTGTTGTTAGATGTTACCCTGTAAATCTTTAGTCTGTAGGTAGATGTTACCTTGTAAATCTTTTGTCTGTGGGTAGATGTTATCATTTATGCATGATATTGTATATGAGGTGTTTTGTGTCGTTATACATTTCTATTTACCCTGTGTGTCTTTGCAGTGTATGTACCAGCTTGTGAACGAGGCTCCATTCATGTGTGCCACAGAACTGGAGACGGTCACAGCTCTCAGCTTCAGGTCCCTGGATGGATCAAACTATGATGTGCGCTGTGCAATCGCAAAACTCCTCGGCAATCTTCTCGCAACTGCGTTGTCACCAAAGACTGTTTATGGTAAGATTGACTGGGATGAATTTGTCCCCATACTCTAGACTTGCGTTCTATATAGAGTGGATTTCTTTGCTGGATGTGAAGTCATACCCATGTATTTTATAAAGAAAGCCCCCTAAGAACAAAATTTTACCTACTAAAATGGCAGTGCAAATCAAATTTATCTATCAGTATCACTTTACATCAAGAGAAGGTTTAGAATTGTATTATCTGCTTTTAAACTTGGGAACACAAAGTGTATGACATGAATCTTTTCTACAGGGTATAAAGGAAGTTTTGATGGACTGTGTTTCGTTGGTTTATTTCTCTTACCATACAGACATTTAACAATTGGCTTTCTGTCTTTGTCATGACACTGTATGTAGGGAGGAAGGACAGCTTTGTACTTCTGATATAGAATGCAAACAGCACTGCTATACAGGCATATTTCCTGAAAACTTGTCTTGATATAGCTAAACAATCTATTGGGGTTTTTTGTACACCCGTATATAGCCAATCAATGTGGGGGTTTTGTACAACCGTATATAGCCAAACAATGTGGGGGTTTTGTACGCCCCTATATAGCCAAACAATGTGTGTGTGTGTGGGGGGGGGGGGGGGGGGGTGGGGGTGTTGTTCACCCCTATATAACCAAACAATGTGGAGGTTTTTGTACACCCGTATATAGCCAAACAATTTGGTGTTTTTTTTGTACACCCGTATATAGCCAAACAATGTGGGGTTTTTTGTACACCTGTATATAGCCAAACAATGTGTGGGGTTTTTGTACACCCGTATATAGCCAAACAATGTGGGGTTTTGTACACCCCCAAATAGCCAAACAATGTGTGGGGTTTTGTACACCCGCATATAGCCAAACAATGTCAGGGGTTTTGTACACCCCCAAATAGCCAAACTGTTGTTTTTTTTGTAAGCCCATATTTTATGATTAATCACTATATAGTTGATCATCGTGCAGTCATTTGATTTGAAATGATGATGAATCATCAATTTTCAAGCATTTCCTCAAACTGATTTCAAGGATTCATGATATATTCAATTATTGGGCTCTTTATATTCCTTGCATTTCACACTTTCTTAACAATTCTTTTAATTTTCTCATTTTGAAGTTATTCGACAAATGTAGGGGAGACTTTGATAACTGGCTGCATGACTGGCACATCCCTCATCATGCTCAGAAATTGATTGCATGTTTCCAAAAATTTATTTGCAAACCATCAATTATTTATACAAGCTATTTGCAAAATAAGCAATTATCGTTTTCTTCAGTGGCAGTTGTTTTCAGGGACGATATTGTGTAATGTAATGTCTTGAAAATATTGCCTAATTGAATATCAAGGGATCAGCATAGTGGTGGCTCAGCTGACAAAGGTGCCCTGAAGATGTAGATAATGTGGGCTTCCTTCACAACATCCCTCTCCACAATTACATTGTCAATCACCTACTGCAGATCTTAGGATTAATGGTATCTTAAGCTTAGAAATACCATTGTTTTCCCTTCTTTTTTCTACTTAAACAGTTTGAAATTATTTATCTGGTCTTGAGACAATCAGATTAAAATAAAGATACAGAATCAATCAAAAAGCAGACAAAATTTTGCATCATCAAAACTTCGGCACAAGAGTAGTTAAAAGTGTGACATAATTATGACAACATAGTGACATTACAGTATAGTGACATTATAACATAGTGACATTACAGTATAGTGACATTATAACATAGTGACATTACAGTATAGTGACATTATTACATAGTGACATTATAACATAGTGACAGTTTAGTAAAGTGACATTATAATATAGTAAAATTATAACATAGTGACATTATAACATAGTGATATTACAGTATAGTGACATTATAACATAGTGGCATTACAGTATAGTGACATTATAACATAGTGACATTACAGTATAGTGACATTATAACATAGTGACATTACAGTATAGTGACATTATAACATAGTGACTTTATAACATAGTGACAGTACAGTATAGTGACATTATAATATAGTGGCATTACAGCATAATGACATTTTAACAAAGTGACTTTACAGCATAGTGACATTATAACATAGTCGCATTACAGCTTAATGCTTTGTAACATTACAAAATTGTAATATTACAGCAAAGTGACATTACAGTATAGAGACATTACAGCATAGTAACATTACAGCATAGATACATTATAGTTTACTGCTTTGTAACATTACAGTATAGTGACATTATATCATAGTGACATTACAGCTTACTGCTTTGTAACATTACAACATTGTAACATTACATTACAGCAAAGTGACATTACAGTATAGTGACATTACAGCATAGATACATTATAGTTTACTGCTTTGTAACATTACAGCATTGTAACATTACATTACAACATTGTAACATTACAGCATAGTGACATTACAGTTAAGTGACATTACAGCTTACTGTAATATAACGTTACAGCATTGTAACATAACAACAATACAACATGGTGGCATTTCAAAATTCAGAACATTTTAACATTGTAACATTAAAACATTGTTCAAATTTAACATGTAGTGATAGTGCAGCATGTGACATCACCCACATAGGGACATTAGACATAACATGTTGTGACATTTAAACAACTTCATGATATTAGGAGTTATCTTTGACTTCTCTGTAGATTATATCCACCTATAACTATTGGCTAATTATTGCTGTTTTCACAAAAGTTAATAGTTCAGTAGTACAAACTTGTGAACAGATAACGTGGTCATTCCAGGCTAGCTGTGCTTACCTACCTAAACAGAACTGAGTCCCCATCAAGAATATGAATACATTACTTTAAATGTAACAGTGCAATATCTTATCAGCATTACCTGCTTGATATTACAAGGAGAATAATACAAATTGTACATGCCTTTTTCCATGGACTGATATTGATCGAGGGTTGATACTGGGTGTGATATGGAAAAAGGCATGTTTTATTCTGTTTATTACATACTTACTAATAAATTATGGATATATCTGCTATCTAATGATCTATTTTTCTTTTGAAATATTGAAAATCAGGGTAAGAGCAATTGTGTCGTATCGCATATACCAAAAACCAAAAACCCGTATTTATTAGTAAGTATGTAATAAATGGCCTTAGAGTAAACAGAGAATTGGGTCAAAACCAAAATGAAATTATTTATTTTTTCTCATTTCCTTTAAATAAAGATTAAATAAGACAAAGCCCCAGACAGGTTGTCACCTCTATTGTTTATTATTAATCACACCAGGGCTTCTGTGACAGTGCTGAAGCACTAGCATTTAGCTGTGTAGGTCAGGTTCTATCTTACGTGCTACAATCAATAACGAGAGGCAACCTATTACAGCTCAGGATTAATGCTTGTACTGGCTCTGTGCTCGCCTGTACTAGCTCCTGCTTCAGTTCGTTTTGTCATAGTTTTGTCAGATCATGAAGGATCACATAACGCCAACATGGAACAGAGTTATAAATGTCACTCACTTTATACCGTGGCTGGGGAACAGCCAGTGTTTTAACATGAAGATGAAATACCAATACACTGTAAAAAACGGTTGGTGTTGTGTCAAAAAGATTTAACAGACAATTCATTTACAAAGTCATACAGAGACACGGCTTATTATTGGTCTGTTGTTTTCATTATGACAATGCTGATTCAGTCTGTCGGATATAGATGTGAAAAGGGAATAATTATAAGTTGTCTGACATGAAGGAAATTCACCAATTTTTTCTTTTTGTATTGAAAAGCACCAGAAAGCTCCAATATCACCAAATGTACGTTACATTAGAACATTTCAGATTTGAGATACGTTTCACATAGTTGAACATGATATAAACCACGACATGAGATTGATAGCAGTATATTTACAGTTGGCAATACATCAATTTCGTTACAATAAAATTGCAAGGCTGTAGCAATAACTGCTGATATCAGAACATCCTTGCATATATATGCATTAATAACATCTAGATTCATGCTTTTTCAAATAAAATTGTGTTTTGCTGTAAACTGGCAGTTTATGCCATGGAGTATGTACATGTACACTGGACGGAAATACATCTGTCTATAGTCTAGTCTAGTGTATGTACATATACACTGGACGGAAATAATCTGCCAGTCTAGTATATGTGGCGTCAATGAGAAATCAATTATTTATTAACAATTTTGGTATTTAATCAGCATAACATTTTACTGCAAAGTATTGAATATTAATATTTGATAATGCAGTGAAGTTTTGTCCTTGTCGTAGTTCACATGGAGTTTTCTATGAACTTAGTTAATGTTTGGGTGTTTGATTGATAGTCATGATATGGCTCACAAGTTTTCATTGATTTGAAAGTCTATTGATTTGAATTATAACATTCACTAGACTAGTTTCTGTAGGAATACCTGCAGTGCACCTGAGGCTGTGATTGATCCAGTTATATTTATAAGTGTTGATATTGAATGTGCTGTCAAATAACACCATGCAGATAAATAGTAATGAAGCCTTTGCTCTCCCTTTTCCATTGTCATTGGCACAAGTTTAAAACTGTATCTTTAATGTATTGGAAATCGAATTAAAAAGATTGTGCTATTTATGCCATCTGTTAAGTTGCGCCGACCGATGTCTATATGTACAGTATTGGCATACATGATATTTAGAACAGTCACGCTGTATAAGAAGATACCAGAATCTGAGATTCAGATGATAGTACAAGTTGTCAATCAATATACAGACTGTTTGTTTTTATTTGCTTCAGACCCATGAAATTTAGACCTATGAAATTCAATATAAGTTCAGTTTTGATGATAAAAATATTCAGGGTTTAGGGTAAGGGTCAGCATTGTGTTGTGAAATGCTATAATGTTGGTAAGATATAATAGAATGTGTTGCATAAAAAGTAAACATACACCTATGTTATGACAGGCATCATAGCGGAACATTTCCTGCTTCATGAATGTTGTTCCATGCCAGAATTTATCAATACCTCTGTATAGTGTCGGGGTAGATATTCCACCACCATGTTGCAGCTGCAGCTAGCTGAGATATTCCTTTGTTCAAATTATCTTGTCATCAGTATAATGTGTAGCTAGCAAGCTGCAATGTGGAGCATTAACTTAGAAAGGTAGTTATGGGAGGAATTAATTATTTTGGTATTCTGTACATTTGTTCATTTACTTTCAGGAAAGAACAAGCAGCCAAAACTTGAAGAAGTATTGAACCTTCTGGCATCAGGCTTCATTAAGGGAGGTTTTGGCTTCCTGAAGAGTTCCACGGCAGGGGAGATGATTAAAGGCAGTGGATCCATTAATAGGGAGATTCGTGTCGGTGTCACCCATGTAAGTATATATGGATGCTTGTCATAGCTGTTATTACTGTTCTGAACTATCTATGTAATACTGTAGTAATCAAATACGCTAAAAATGGAACTGTGTCATTAATCTATAGCTTTATTACTTAATGTTCAAATAAAGCTTATTTTATAGACCAAATTGTATCGTTGTTTGACAAAATTAATTTTTGTTTTGGTACAGTTAATGACATCACTATTCAAAAAGTTTAATTTTGAATGTTGTTTCAATAGGCTGGGTTTGCTGAATTGATTGTAAGTTTAACAAATGAAATTGTCGAACTGTCTGTACATTATTAATTCATTACTTGTTCTGTAGCAAATAAAGCAAATACGAAATCAAAATGATATCATAAAACATGTTATATTTTGCAGGCATACATTGAGTTTGTGAAATGTATGGGAGGCTTATGGCTGGAGAGAAACATCTCCATGTTTCTGAATCATGTCCTTGACCTTGTGGCCAGTCCAAAGTCTACACCCACACACGTTGATGCAGTGTATGCACGCAAATGTGTCCTCTTCATCATAAGATCTTCAATAGGAGGTCTGCTGGGGGAAAAGGCTCAAATTGCTGCTGCCAAGGAGATATGTCAAATAATTGTAAAACAAATGAATGCAGCAGGTAATTATTCATATAAAAAACATCCACACAAGGATTTCTGCCAAAACTTATCAGGTTTTGTCATTGCTCAAATGAACAATTAGGTATTTTGGATCAATCCCACAAATAAAGAAAAGTGAGAAAAAAAGACAACAGATTTGTGTCTAACAAATTTAATGCTGACAAAGGTATCTTGATCATCGGTTACTCATTTTCAATTCTTAGTCATTGGAAATAGTGGCAGCTTGTTCACCAATCAAAAGAAAAACAAAGTATACAGATATTTTACAATTAAAAAAAAACTATCTTAAATAACCGCCATGATAAAGTACAATAATCACATTGAAAAGGCAAAAAGTAAATCAAAAGTATTCTGAAAGATATGAACATTCTTGAATTTTGAAAAACAGATTGGGATTATATAGGCCAAAAAATTTGGTTACTTGGTTCTCAGGCCCGCGCGCATTTCATTGCACCGTGCGCATTGCCGATTTTATCGTGAAAGTAATAAAAAAAAATTGTGAATGCGCCAGCCGCCATCTTTAAAAAAATCCGGGAAAAAATCCGGAAAAATTATCATGACTTATTAGTCTTGTGTACAAATGGCGCTCATTTAGGTACAAATAAGGAATGGGGGGTTCGTAATTCTCGTCTGGAACATCGTGATGGGATTTTCGGAGGCTTGCTCTGCTCTATGACCGGTCTCTACACAACTATAAAATGACAAGGTAATGTCCACAATGAACGTTTTAAAAACTACACAATAAAAAAAAATCGCCCTCGTCTCGTTTTTGCCATGTAAAATGAAAAAAAAAAATACCGCCCTGCCGTATCTATTTTGAAAAAAATTGGCCTGAGAACCAAGTAATTAATTTTATTTGGCCATAGGCATCACATTATTGAATCAGGTTTGTACTGCAGTGTTATAAGAAATATTAACTATGATACAGAAAAGTTTCGTTAGATTATGATATCCTGTCCTGTTTCATGCCTAGATATCCCCTTGTTACAGGAGAAGCAGTGGCCGACGCGGTGGATGGTAAATCCCAGAACTGGGATATGATGGGCAGTCAGCATGTACTTGTATGTGCTCTACATGAGCTAGGAAGCCTGGTACTGAGGCTGGGTACCTCAGCTAGTCCCCTGGTGTCCGAGCCTGCCACAGGTAAGTACAGGGCAATATTCTCCACACACCTCTAACAACTTAAGGATGTTTGTTACCTTAAGGTGACTTGTACCTCCTATTCAAAGAGTTCAACACTAAGACACCATCGGTAGATTTGATGTGATTATTTAATTTAAGCCGCATTTGCAAGGTACACAAAAATTGATGACACATTTGAAAGGTACACAAGAATTGATGAAACATTTAAAAGCTACAGAAATATTATGAATGCTTTGATAACATTTGAATTCAGTTATTGCACAATAGTAAATGAGTTTTAAGATAACTCAAACACAAAATACCGATATATTTTGCAAGGTAGCCTAATTTTATCCTTAAAATAAAATAAACAATCACACTTGGTTATTATGAACTCTGAAAACAGCATTTGACCTTTTAATTCAAATTGAAGAAAGGATCCCAACTGTCATTTCTTGATGATGTCTGGAAAAGCATGTTTATATATTTGTTCATTGTCCCAGCTAATTCAAAATTACAAGTTAAGAAAATATGGGGGCACCTATTTTCGTACTGGTATGTAATGGTGAAAAAGAAAATATTTCATCTAGCCTCATTTGAATGTACAGGTATAATAGAGCCGGTGGTGTCGGTGTTAATCCACCCCTGCCACGCGGCTCGACTGGCGGCCTCCTGGTGTCTGGGCAGTATCTCAGTGGCTCTGCCCTCACAGCTAACACCCCTGCTAGACCGCTGTGTGGAGCGCATGGAGAAGTTAAAGTCCTCCCCAGAGTCCGTGTCTGGTTACAGCAGCGCCCTGGCTGCCTTGCTGGGTAGAGTGTACCAGTGTCCACTGGGTATCCCCCACGGCAAGGGAAAGGTAATTCACTCACCTAAGTAGTGTAATAGATGATGTCAGTAAGATAATTGGAATGTAGCATAGAAGCAATTATGAAATATCCTTAAGTTCTCAAAAAGTACATTTACTCATTAAACAGGCTCGCCAAAATGGTTTCATTTGTTAAATTTTCTCTGTTTGAAATCCATTAAAATTGATTCAGTTTGCTATCGGTATCATCGAAAGCAATTTATTGGCTTTAAATGATCTTTAAATTGCTTCATGCTTTATTGGAGTGTTTATTGATTTTATCAACTGTTTCACAGCACTTGTTCAGCATAGCGGAGGAGTTACTGCGGACAGCGTCACAGAACAGCCGCCTGTCCTTACAGAGAACACAGTCTGGCTGGCTACTCCTGGGCTCACTGATGACACTAGGTATAGACATCACATCTCCCTACTCACAAAAACTCGTGTTTAACATCACAGAAGCGTTTATCTGATCATTTGGACCCACTTATAGCCTGATTTATGATCAGTAAATGTGTTTAATTATTCATCGTTAATCTTCTTGGCTTCAAACACAGCTGTCACTGGAACTTTAAATATGACAAAATAGATGTTAAAACAAGTATGAAGTATATAATATTTTCCTAATTAAATATTTATCGGTAATTATATTTTACGGCGTGGAACTGTTACTTACCGGTTTGTTACGACTCATTCTTCGTTACATGTAGAATAGCACGGACACATTTACCATGCAGTGTACTGTACTCTTAGTGATTGATATTGCACAAGATACAGTGTAGGCTGACGATGCTGAATACCAATAAAAACTGTTACAAATTACAATTTTTGACAAATGCCACATGACTCCACAAAATCAAAAACTTGAATATTGTTTAATTCTTAATTCAGTATGTTGCCAGATATCTTATTTCAATGCACAGTGCAAAAAAATACTGGCCAATCTTAATTCCATATGTTGCCAGATACATTATTTCAATGCATAGTGCAAAGAAATTCTGGTCATTCTTTGGTACCGAATGGCACATACCCAGATTATAAAGATGTATGATTACTGTCCCATTATGTATTCTATGACTATTCCCCTCTAGGTCCTCCTGTGGTTAGGAACCACCTACCCCGCATGCTGTTATTATGGAGGAATGCGTTCCCACGGTCCACCAAGGAACTAGAAGCAGAGAAGATCCGAGGTGACTCCTTCACCTGGCAGGTCACATTGGAGGCCAGAGCTGGTGCGCTCGGAGGTGAGTTCTTGGAACTAGACAACTCTTCTCATACATTCGGAACAAAGTCACATAATTCAAAATAATTTTCAAGGCTATTTACATACTTTAAACACTATAACAACTTTAAAACACTATATTAAACATAGCTTTAAAAAATATTTTATGATCCAAACCACTATAAAATATAATCCAGGGTTTTCAGCCACATTTACTGTAATTTCCAACAAACTTACTTACTCCATTTTGAAATTTCATTTATATGTAGGTGTAATACAGGTCCTGTTGGAATGTGTTTGAATGTTTGATAGCAGCTCTGTGTGAGGGACTTTGGAGGATCGTAACTTAATGTCAGAGAAACATCATCTGATCAAATAGGAAGCACATTTAAGTAGTACTGAAATTAAACTATCACTTCTTGCTTCATTTTAGCAATGTACAGCTTCCTGCAGCACTGCCGTGAGCTAGTCACGGAGGACGTTATTCGCCGCCTATTGGCACCTCTGGAATGTGCTCTCCTGATGTTTTCACAGTAAGTCCTGAAGTCTTTGTAGACCAGTATATATTATACATCACAGCTCGGCTTTGATCACCCAATCAATGATTTATGCTGTGCTCCTGGAACACTTGTATAATTACATAACCAGTGTAGCGTGTCCTGTACACTGCACATTTACGATATGTAGCAACACATCAAAGGTTTGTTATGCTGTCTGTTGCTAACACCGACATATAGGAATGTTGGTATTGATTTTCTGGAGATTTAAAAAAACGGAAAACGAACCAACAAGGTCAAGGTTTGAAAAACATAACAACTGATGTTCAAGACTTACCATTCAACGATTATATACTATTCTGATTCTATTATTAATATGGTTTTTTTTTTAAATCAATGAACATAATAACAGCTGTATGTAACAGTATATTAGGCATGTTAGGGATGCTCACCCTTCAGTAAGCACCAGAGCTAGTTACAAGCTGTTTCATGATGGTAATATATATTAGATCAGATATACTTGAATAATAATTTGAATAACCAGTGAAATATTTTCTTTATATGCTTACTTACTTACTTAATTATTACTTTCATTGCATCTGAGGGAATATAATTTTCCCTTGTGATTTCCTAATATATTGATATAAGATATGATTGTTTTAATTTGTTTCTATGTGTGCCATTTGATATTGGATGGTTAATACTGGTTGAGACACTGTAAATGATGACATCCTATGTCTTATGTCAACAGCTTGCCTGGCGTGATAAAGAGCTATGGGACCCAGCTGAAGGCCAGTGCTGCCATGGTGCGACTGCGGCTCTATGATGTTCTCTGTCTACTGCCCCCAGAGTCATTTGAAGGTATGGAAGTTGTCTGTGCACCAAAGTCCTGATCACTTTGTATCAAAATAAAGTCTTTATGTCGTTTAGAAGTATACAGCTGATGTAAAAAAACATTGTTGGAGTGAAATTTAATGTCATACATTATATTTGGTAACAATACCTTATATGGATGGTCATCTAGTGGCCTTAGTACTGACATGGATGACCTTCAGACTAGGAGTAACTTATATGGATGGTCATCTAGTGGCCTTCATACTGACATGGATGACCTTCAGACTAGGAGTAACTTATATGGATGGTCATCTAGTGGCCTTCATACTGACATGGATGACCTTCAGACTAGGAGTAACTTATATGGATGGTCATCTAGTGGCCTTCATACTGACATGGATGACATTGGGTGTCAATTAAGAAGACAGATATAATCATTATTGTCAACTATCTATATGCCTCCACATTTCTTAGCATTGGTGCTGTGCAACAAAAATTGTGATTTCTTTTAAATTGGAAAAGAATTTAAACTAATATTTCATATTAAAAAACCCTTTACATTTGACTTAGATTAAAAGCATCTTGCATATCCTGTATTAATGGCAGTTAATTTCTTTGTGATTGACATACTTAGGTACATACACAATGTTACTGAGAGAATTGGTGGCCGAGTTCACACTGACAGACAATCCAGCCAACACGACCACGTCACTGCTGCGGTCAATGTGTCATGTGGACGATAGTGTTATACTGGGCTCCTGGCTGCAGGAGACTGACCACAAGGCTATAGAGGACCAGGTAAGGCCGACTGACCATCACGCTGTCACCAGGCAGCAGAGCTTGTCTGTCCTGTATATGCTAGACCTTGCACAGCTACAAAGTGTGTTGTAGAATCTTGATTTCAAATTGTTTGAATTATTTTCAGTATAATTTGCATTGAAACTCCACAGTACTGGATTTTGTCTAAAGACATCTTTATCAACACAAACATTTCTTGGGTAAGGTAGTTTATATCTAAAGATGGAAATCTTATCACTTCTATTGACAATTCATCACTCTTTCTTACACATTTTAGAATCACAAGTTTTAAAATGAATCTTTATACTGAAAATATGGCCTCAATTCCTTGAAATTATAAAATAAAGAAGCAATACCTAAGTAGATAGAAATCAAAGATAAGTACATCTGAGAATTTCAGTATTTTCTCAAATCTTTACTGTGGTGTTTGCAAGAAAATTATTTATTTGATTTTATCATTATAATAGCTTGTTTTGTACACATGATTGATTATGAGTTGATGCAGAGAAAATTTGCAGTCTCATTTCCTCATCTTTTCCGATACATTCAGTTGACTATTATGATTTTAGTTTGAACCCAATCGTAAAGTGGATAAAGAGATAGTAAGTATTTTGGGAACCATGTCTTGACAATGGATAGCCATCTTGGTTTTTGACGCGGGAATGCACAATGTTTTTTATAATTCTGTTTTGTTTAGATATATCATCTCTCAAAATTGCATGGAGACCATTAGAATTTTTTGCCACATTTTTATCTTGATTAGTCAGGATGACCCTGTGTGAGGAATGACGGCTGTTTCCATGTCTGCCTAACATGTGCCCAAAAAAGATTCATAGAAATTCTAACATGTGCCAAGAAATATCCCTTACATTTTGCAATGAAAGAATTTCTCGACATGTTATTAGAACTAATGTTCCTAATCAAAGCTTATAATTAGTTGTTCTGAGTAATGCAAATATGGCATGTATGCTTCAGTAAAAACAGGCAAAACTTCTAGATAAATTTGACAGACTCAAATACAATCTGAAGAAGAAAAAATATTTATCTTAAATTGCATATACATTTGTATAGTGAAAACGGTCTTCACCGACATAAAGAGGGACTGAATCATTTGGTCGTTTAAGACAGTGTTTCAGTAAAATAGTTTTCTGGCAAAAAACATGCCTAAGTTCACTGACATCAAGAGGCACTGGATCATTTGGTCAGATTTGACAGTGTGTCAGTAATGTCAGGTTAAAAAATGAAAGTAGTCATTTAGGAACATAATTATTATGATGAGCAATTTGCGTAGTGAGATTTCATGATACAGTATAAGCATCTTTAAGACATGATATGCCATCATATTTGATGTAACACTGAAATGGGAAAATATGTGTGACAGTAGAGAAAAATATGAGGGATAAATCAGATAATATTTGAATACCAGGTTCCATACAAGTGTTCTCTACTTACCTCCCTTGTTAACTGTGGTTTTATACCTGTGAAGATATACATTGTGTGAATACCCTAAACATCACATCATATAGACACTGACAAGTCTCAAAAAAATAAAACGATGGAACATCACCTTATACAGCTGGTGGAATACTTCTAGAGGTTTGTGTGCTTGGGAAAAATTTATGTTTGATAAGATAATTATAGAATAGATTTTGATTCCCTGGTGATTGGTTTTACATGAAGTGTAGTTAGATTCATTTGCTTTGTAGACAGTTGGACCCGTTAGCAGCACAGTTGACATGTGATGGTCATACCCTTGTGCTGTCTTAAACCCTCCCCACTGATATGTTTATCATGATTCCTGTATCTACATCTCTGGGTCTTTGAGAGGGTTTAGTCATGAGACTGTAAATTTCCTCTGTACTCTCTGTGTCTATAACTGCTAACATCTTCAGGTCTCTCCTACAGCTTTTGCATGTCAGTATTCACTTAGACACTTTTCAGGTCAGAAACATATTTCTTGAGCTGTTGACCCATCAACACATGTATACATACACAACATAACATCCAGGTTTGCCTCTGTATTTTGTTGGCATTTTGAATTCTCATCAGAAAATCTTGCATGACATGATTACTTCCACCAGAGACTCAATGCTTTCTGTTTTTTCACAAAAACAAAAGATGGTTGAACATCAATATCACATTGGAATGAAATTTTAACAAGTCTTCGAATGATTACAAACTAACTGCATTTTTGAATTGATTGTTGTGACATCTCCTCTGTCTTGCTGCTTAGATATACCATAGAGAATATAGCAGCAGGAAAATGAAACAATCACAAGAGTGTGGTCGTGGTTCTTGACCTTGGTGTGACCTTGGTTCCTGACCTTGGTGTTGCCTTGGTGCTTGACCTTGATGCTTAGACTTTTGGGGAATTAGAAAATTATGGAACATTTAAAGTTGATTGGAATGATATTTAGAAGAATCATTTTCTGAAAATATCTTTATGCCAATCTCAGTTTTATTAAAAGCACAGATTTAGTCATGATGTAGTGATTTTTTTGGAAATTTATTGTTTTCACTCTACTTGATTTATTGAAAAGAAATGTCGTAGCAACCTGGAACAAATTATTTATGTACATTTTCATTAACATATCATTACAAGCATATACATTTGAATTAACAAGTTGCTCTTTTGCAGGGAAAAAAATCATTTCTGTTTCATTCGCAATGTATAGACAGCAGAGACATTACGTTTCACAGGGATCTACTTGTAGGTTAGCCATATTTGTTTATAAGTGTTGCTTTTATAGTTGCAGCCTAACAGTGCATCAGGTTCTGGAGCCCTGGAGCACGACTCACAGTCGCTTTATGCACGTTATCCACCGGTAAGTATTACAAAACTCATACAGGATCATATCCATAAGAACATTTTATTTGGTATTTGTGGAAAAGAAATAAGTGATTGTTTTACTAAGCTAATACCTAGATAAATATAGGCATCATATCATACAAGAAATATATTTTTCCTAATGACCACATGATAAAGAGAGCTAGTGTTTTCAAAAGGAATTTTTAAATTTTCTGTATCGTTTATAACAATAAACAATCATGTTTATTACAGAGTGAACCTATCCCAGGCCCCCTTCCCTTGGGCGTGGCTGTGATTGACAGCTCAGTGAAGCTTTATGGTTTGGTCTTCCCTCGTGTGGCCAACAAACACCGGTACCAGATGCTACAGCACTTCAACGAGTGTATAAAGCAGGCCAAGGCCACCCGCCAACAGGCTGTACAGATGAATATCTTCACTGCGGTACTCTGTGCTCTCAAGGTATCCTCAAATAAATGTCCACTCAAAGTATCAGCAGCTCTACTAGTCAAAACTGTAGGAAATGATTTAAAATGTCATTGTTTTTCAACTAAGAAGTTTTCAATTTGCTAGGTCATCATGATAACAGAGTAAAATTGGAATTAATGGCATCCAAAATCAATACACTGAATTAATACAAAATTGTCATTCAAAAAATCAAAAACCTCATCAAATCTTGACTTAATATATGATAAAATTGTGTTACTTTCCTGTATTTAATTGTTAGATATATGCTACCTATACACTTTAGTTGTTGGGGTAAGGGGCATTTGAGAATAGATTGTTATCAGATACTTTGTGGCTATGTGAGTTTATGTGTTGCTGATGAGCTGTATTGTTGTCCCTTACAGAGCCTATCTGATACTAAGACGAGTATGGGACCTGATGAGGTGAAGAAAGCTGCATTCAATCTTATCATGGTAAGTTTGTACTCTTGTGATTCAAATTGTTTCACTGTGCTGTGTGTTTTGGTGTGAGGTGTGTTACAGGGAATTGTGAGCAGCAGCTACTTTTACCAGAGTTATGCAGTTGGGGAGACCCCGTGCCTTACTGTATGTTACTGTGTGTTCCTATTTGTTACAGGGAGCTCTGAGCAGCACCAATCCTATCTTAAGGTGTGCGGCTGGTGAGGCGTTAGGTCGCATGGCACAAGTGGTGGGCGACAGTCGCTTCATCGCAGACATGGCTCAATACAGCTTTAACAGGTAGGCATTCCTTCAGTGTACACAAGTGAAATAATATCTTACTTCTGTTGAGAGCAGTAGGTTTGGTTTTTATAGCTTCTCATTTAAATCTGTATTAATTTATTTGATTAAACCATTCTAGCTTGATTAAGGAACTTTATATAAATTGAATTAATATTTGCCCTGGTGTAAGTAAGAGAGACATTTGAGAATTATAAAACATGTTTTGGACTTTTTGTCTCACAGTTTGAAATCAGCGCGAGATGTGGTCAGCAGGACTGGTCATTCTCTGGCCCTAGGCTGTCTACACAGATACGTCGGGGGTATGGGGTCAGGTCAGCACCTAAACACTAGTGTCAGCATCTTGTTGGCTCTGGCCCAGGACTTCAACTCACCTGTTGTACAGGTAAGTAGTCGGCATGTACCTACAACCTTATTTTATCATTGAGAGAAGCACCTTTATTAGATTTATCATAAGATATTATCAAAAGGTCTAATGCTATGTATTCTTTAATGCAAAAATATATCACATGACTGCACCATTTATGATATTATTTTGGTCATGGACAAAACTTTTCTTTTCATTAATATCGTAGGTTAAAAAAAATAAAAAATGTTCATATTTTTTTTTTCTTACATGTTCATTCCTACCATAGGTGTGGGCATTGCATGCCTTAGCCCTGATTGCTGACTCGGGTGGACCGATGTTCCGAAGCTACGTGGAGCCCACACTGTCACTGGTACTACAACTGCTGTTGTCTGTGCCACCCTCCACCGTGGATGTCCACCAGTGTTTGGGCAAGTGTCTGTCGGCCCTCATCACTTCAATAGGACCAGAACTACAGGGTAAGTATCGGCACCCCATATAATACATTTATTAATCTACAATATGTAAACCAAGGTCCGTGATAGTTCAATGGATGATTAACTTAACTAGTCATAAGCGAAAATTTTCAAAATGAAATTTTTGTGAACTGTCTAAAAATTAACAATTTTTTCTGTGTATGTTGTCAATAGGGGATCATTGTTATTCCTTATACTTCAAGCTATGGTTTTGAATTTCAATCTTTTTGAAAATATTCTTGTTCAAAATTGTGCTTTTAGTTGTTGATTAGCTTACCAGGCTTTGAAAAACTGTACAGTATATATTTTTGTATCAAACTGAGAAAGTGGCAAAGAATTAATAAAATAGTGTGGTAAACCTCTTGAAATGATGAACAACAGATTTGAGAAATATTCTTATGATCCAAAGAGAATTCAGAATCACATGTACTTTGAGTATTACTAATTACTCCTGACCTATAATTTGCAGGTAACAGTGGGTCGATAGCCACAGCGCGGCTGTATTGCCTAGTGTGCTGTGCTATCATGCAGGACCACCCCGACTCCTTGGTCCAGGCCGAGGCCATTGCCTGTCTACAACAGCTTCACATGTTTGCACCGCGTCACGTCAACCTCACCTCTCTCGTCCCTCATCTCTGTGTAAGTCACCACTAACTCTACAGTAGGGCAGCTTAAACAACAGTCCTGTGTTAATTCAACACTGGGCTAAATATTTTGTACAATAGACGTAACACTTTGTATCATTAAGATAATTTTGCATGTAGAAATAAATTTGATATACAGTTTCATTTTTATTTCTTATTGAAGATACCTGATGAAATTAAAGATTTAAGAAGAAACTAAATATAATTGAAGTTGGGTTAAGATTTACTGTATAATGGGGAATTTTATCCACAGTTTAACTTTCGCATTTTTGCAATCCACAATGAGGGCAAATTTATCATGATAATGAATATAAGTACACAGCAGACCTTTAAAATGTAGAAGTAACATGTGAAGGGCAAAATATACCTTGGGCAAATAGGGACTTTACTGGTGAAGGGCAAATATTTGACTGGGCAAACATTTCCTGGTATACAGTAATATGAATGTCTGTCTTTATTGAAGAACAGAAATGACTTTGCGTGAGGTGTAATTATTACAACATATTCACCTTACAGGAAACGCTCAAGAGTGCCCACTTACTATTACGGAGAGCTGCAGTAGCATGTTTACGTCAACTGGTTACACGCGAGGCAGAGGAGGTCAGCGAACAGGCACTCAAGGTCGTCAATGAGACCAGTTATCAGTACTCATCACCTGGTACAGCTGCCTCGGCCAATGAAAATGGTGTAGAGGGTCAATTGTATGGCATGCTGGACACAGAGATTGACGGCAAGCTGATCTCTGATGTTCAGGACACGTTGGTCAGTCTGCTACAGTCCTTGGCTACTCGTAACCTTACACGCTGGCTTATGTTACTGAAGGAGGTGTTGTCAGCCTCCACAGGTAAACACTCTATTATCAAATTGGTGCATTGAGCAGTTTATTATTATTCAAGCTATCTCATAAATATTGTCCTTTTGGTCACTTTTACAATCTTAAAGATGTGAAAACAAGGTCAATGTCATTATTATTGAAATAGACACATTCAATGTATTATCTAGATTATGACCCAGTTTCTATGAACTACCTACTATGCATTCAGTAAGGACCTTGCCGACCTGTCAGTATTGCTGTAAAGATGTCAAAAATTCAATACCAATTCTGCAAACGAACCAGTAGATACATGTATAGTAAAAATTCCAGAACCAAACTAAAATCCCTTTTCAATAAATTCAACTTAACAGATAAATATGGGTCTAGTGTAAACAAAGCTATATTATACAACAATCACTGTCTTATCTTTCAGACACAACCAGTAGTTTACAGGAAGGAGTTGTGGACGGTGATGACGATAAGGATGACGATGATGAAGATGAGGGTGCTGAGTTTGAGTTCAAGGCGGCTGAGGCTGATGTTACTCATCCAACAGTTGCTCCTAGGTATATAACTGCAGTGATAAGAGATAACCTTATAATTGTATAGTATGATTACCTTACAACTGTTTAGTATTGTACAAGTTTGAAGGACTTACATACTCCTACATATTAGAATTTTGCACACCACTCTGCCTCAGGTAGACAATAGCATATCACCTTCATTGATCATTTACACAGGATACATAGTTTTGTATTAATTCATATGACCACAAACATAGTTGTATTAATTCATATGACCACAAACATAGTTGTATTAATTCATATGAACGCAAATATAGCAAAATTAAGAAATTATGCAGTACTTTGTTCACCTTAGGGTTATTTCATTTACCGGTAATGTTGACCCTAGCCACAGACATTAGAATTTTTTTATTAATAGTGCTTTGTTTGTCTGGATAGGTGGCCCACACGAGTGTTTGCTACGGACTGCTTGAGAAAGATCATCATAGCTTGTGAAGTCGACGAAATCCACTTCAACTTGGAAAAAGCTAGAGAGTTGAAGGCGAAGACCAACAATGGTAAAGGAAACACAGACATTGAGGATTAAGCATTAGAATAGATTATTTGCCTAAGTAAAAGTTGAAATTTTGTTAACAACGGGTCATTTCCTTCATTTAAAGACACTGGGAGTCTGCATCGTCCAAACCTGTTATCAAAATAAAGACTGCACCAAAATGTTTTAGTTTTAAAATGTTATAGTTTTAGAATTTAAATATCAAAATGTTACAGTTTTAAGAATTTCACTATGCATGTTTCAATTTGGCTATATTGTCATTTGTGGAAGGGTTTTGATTTCTACCATTGCAGTGAACTTCCTAGTGTTACATCTGTCGGAGTTGGTACGAATGGCGTTCATAGCTGCCACGTCAGACAGTAACCAGCTGAGGTTGGCAGGCTTGTCGGCACTACAGGTAAACAAGGACTTCTGGAAATGTCACCTACACATTGATGAACATTGATTTGAACAATTAATTGATTTGGATCAAATTCAGTTCTTATCAATTTGCTGAATTTCCATTCCATTGATCTTTTGAAACATTATCATCATCTATTAATCAATCCTTCCAATTGATATCTTGCTTAAAGTATTTGACAAATTTCTAAAAAAAAAAATGATAATTGATCTTGTGTGGAAGTCGAAAAATAGATAAAGCAGGTCCAACTTCCTTATTTTGTCACTAGATTTAAATTTTCACTTATCAACATAATTATCTTGCTTATATCTATCCAAACATAGAAGTGATTGAAGCAGCTTTAAAGTTTCATTGTAGAGTATAACACAGTTACTGCAAACACTCCCATTATGAATTCTTACATGTAACAAATTACAGTTGTGTCCTCTGTTGAGGAATGAGTTCGTGGACATTCAACTCTGTGACAAATTCTGGCTATAGTGAGCTAAATTCTGAGGTCATCTGTAAATGGTTATAAACATGTTTCACTGTATTTTCAGTATAACAACTTTTCTGTTTTGTAACAGGATGTTATAACCAGATTCGCGGCTGTACCAGAACCGGAGTTCCCTGGCCATGTGATACTAGAACAGTACCAGGCACAGGTATGAGTCCAGTCATTGTGATGGAAAAACAGATGGGATGAGAAAGTGCATGTAGTCTATGGCCTGTCTAGGAATATAGAAATCTGAAATACTACCATTGATAGTGGTAGTAGGCATTTTTCTTACCTATATAGTTATTCATGCTTCAAACTGTATGATGGTGTCAGTGTGTACTGTATAAAAAAGTGAAATTTGAACTTGTTGCATTAAATATGAACTTATCATCATCTTCATTTAAGGGATTACTGATTATCAGTTTCCTGTCTTCATGCAACAGGAGTGCGTGGGTGGGATAATATCTTCTTCAGAAAATATTCATGTTTGTTTTATAGAAGGGCATTTACATACCGACTTCTAAAAATAATATGAACAGTTTGTATTAAAACAATTACCATTACTAGATCATGAGATGGACATGTGATCCTGGGATGGGAATATTTTCTGATCTGTTGATATCCAACAAAGTGTGGTGTTAGATTATAGGTGTAATAGAGTTTAACATTAGTTAAATATTCTGATATGTGTGATTTACATTTGTTGAAATGGTGATTTAGAACATTTAAAATTCATTTCAGGTGAGTGCTGCCCTGCGACCTGCTTTCTCACAGGACACGCCATCAGATGTCACTGCTGCTGCTTGTGATGTAAGTCAACACATCAAATGATATATTCTTTGTCAAGTGTCATGATATGTAATCTTTATAATTTGAAACGTCTGTGGTGGTGATGTTGAGAGGGTTACTCATACATGCGATGCATTCGGAACACAAAGTAGGGAGATTGGTGTTTTGAAGTTGGGAAATATTTTTGTGGCATCACAGCGTAATGTTGTTTCTTCAATAATTATCAATTTTTACCATATTTTTAGGGAAAATAACACCATCTTTGTTTTCAAATCTTCTATTAAACAATCAAAAACTCATCAAAACAATGGTGGGGTTTTGCTATAAATTATATATTGGGAGGCGTCATCACATGTATATGGTTACTTTGGATACTATACAAATGCATGTTTTTACTTCTGAGTGTAAACTTGTGAAATGTACAACCTTTACCTCTGATTAGATTTTACTTATATGACTAGCTTGTATGAAACTTCAGTTCATTTATTCTTAAGACTTTGGAAATGATAGAGAACAGCCAATTATTTCAGTAAAAGTGGTAATACAATGTAGTTAATCATTTTGAGATGTCAAGTTGGTAAAATATCGTTTTCCAGCATGTTGTGTTTTCGTTTATAGGTGTGTAGTACATGGATAGGCAGTGGTGTTGCTCGTGACCTCAACGACCTACGTAGGGTTCACCAGCTGTTAGTGTCCTCACTGGCCAAAATGAATGCTGGGAAATCCCAGTCCATGTTGTACAATGAGAGTGCTGTCACCATGGAGAAGCTGGCAGTATTACGAGCATGGGCAGAGGTGAGATACCACAGAAGTTTTGTTTGAGAATTTTGTCATGTGTCCAGATTTTGAAACTTTTCTAATTTGGAGAAAGTATTTGGTAGCTTATTTAAATTGATATTCAACAAAGAAGAAGATTGAAAGTTTGATACAAATAGCATCATTAAAACAATACTAAGTCTCCAGTTGCTGTAAATAGGGAGAAAATTGTTTGAGGTTACGACAAGCTAATTTTAGTAATAAGTCTGTTTTAATGTGTGTTTAATACATACTCATGTATAAGACAATGCTGTACTTTTGACTTGACAGTACAACTGTATCTTATTCCAGGTATATATAGTTGCTGTAGAACGAGAGAAGACAGTACAGCCTAAAGCTAAGAATGAGGAGGATGAGTTCGGTGACAGTGCTAGAGAAAGCCTGTTGTCCCTGGTACAGCCAGAGTTACCTACACTTAGTCAGAACTGGTTCAACGCCCTTAAGGATCATGCTTACCTATCCTTGCCTCCAGGTAAAAATCTAACTGTACTGTGTAGTTATTAAAATAATGGGGTTCAAAGAGCTTTTCTTCCTCTCACTGATGTTATATTTTTCATCAGAAAAAAATCCAACCGACTTGATATAATTTGTTTCAATGGTCGTCATTAATTTGTGATATCGATGGAAATTGACTGACTTCAAGTTATTGGCAGCCAGGCTGAAGGAGAATATCTTTGAAAGAAAGCTGGCTTCAGGAGTTGCATTATTCTTCCTTTTACTTTAATTTTAGAATAGTTTGTAAGTTTGTATTTGTTTTTGCTTTAGAATACTCTGGGCAGCTCCCTTCAGATGGTGGTATGTTTTACCATCCTGAAACAGTGGATTCAGCTCGTCCCCACTACAAGAAATCATGGCCATCCATCCTCCATGCTCTAGCTATCTGGCTGGACGAATCATCCTTCTTACATGTGGACAAAGACCACAGCAACGAGCCAGCCAATGAGAAGAAGCCAGGAGGTCTGTCTCTAGCACCGGCCAATGCTCCAGCTAACATGAACCCAGATCAGATCAATGCAGATAGATTGTATCTCATTCTAGGTATGTACTACAATTGTATAGCTAGGAATGTTTACATACAAATTCTGTTTCTCACATTATAATTTGAGAATTTCTGAGTAAACACAATTTCCATTCCATATTAAATGAAAATGTAGCGGGATTTACACTAATTTAAAAAGAAATAGGAGGTATATAGGGGTAAGTGGTGGGGAAAGGGTTATTAATATGTATTTCACAACGGAAGGAAAATAATTCCTGCATGTATAACGATTTTAAATGTATGTAAAAGGTAGCATGCTTATAAAACATAGAAAACGTACATTCAAAAAATTGTGTTGAAACAAGTCTTTGTTCTCAAGGTTGACTATAATATGCGACTCTATTCCAGGTATTTGTATGGAAGCATTGTCCAGTAATATAATTGTGATGTCAGAACATGTGGTCAACAGTTGTTTGAAAGCCTTGTATGCTCTGTTGAACCCCAGCTGGCCCCGCAAGGCTATGGGCGAGGACCCAGTGCTGTCACGTGAACTCCTCAATGTCATGCACAGGTAAAGCAATAATATAGTTATCATTTGTCTGTATTTCTATGTATGTATGTAACCGATTTGCATTCATACAAGCATGAAATTGAAAAAAATACTGTTCAATTCTTTTGTGTCTTGTTTTGATTTGCATGTAGCTAGTCTTTAATGTTAAGATGAAAGTTTGTAGTTTTAGATGTGTTCAAAACTTTTTATGGAATTGAATTCTTAAGTGATGTTTACATATTTTGCACTCAATTTGCAATTTGAGTACATCCCATATTCAAATATCTCGCAGTAAAACAACCCCAATAAATGGCATGATTCAAATCTCCACAAAGAAGTCATTTGAGGAAAAATCACAAACAGTAGTGGTTGCAAGAATTTTAAAGATTTTTACAGTATTTCTCACAGCTGGTATGAATCTGTAGAAATCCTGATCATATGTCATGGATTTTGTGTGTGATGTGTAATTGTTTGTTTTCGACAGAACGATGTTGACAAAGGACAGCATCACCACACAGCTGCTGGCTATAGAGGTGGTAAAGCAAGTTCTATCTGCAGCTGGAGAAAACCTTGACAACGAAAAGATCAAAATTAAAGGTTAGTACAAAGAGTCATTAAACTTTTTAAACAGCTTAACTGTCATTTATAAAGTGACATACCTTTTACAAATAATAAACAGTTACTGTAAGTTTAATTGCAAATAAATGACTATTTTTTTTACATTTACTGTTTGGACTATTAAAGAGTTTATGTAACTGGATTATGTACAAGTAAGATTTGGTATTAAATTGTTACAGAAAAGGAAATCGAGACCCCAGTAAGCAATGCCAGCAGCACAGATTCCATGGACACCACAGACAGTACCCAAGTGTTAGGTGAGGGGGGTGAGGCTGGGGACATTGTACCTGGCAAGTCTGTAGTATATGCCACCCTGGAGGTGTGTCTGTGTGCCATTTCCAGACAGATTCCTGCCCTCAACCCTTCCACCCCTAGCACAGGCTTCCAGGTCCCTACAAGACTCACCAAGATGTCCGACGAATCCTGTCAGCTCATTGCCAACACAGTCCTCATTCTCACAGAACTTCCAAATCTTTGTTCACCTCAAGGTACAGTATACAAATTGACTTGCATGGTTTTGAAAAAATCTGCCGTTTTGCTGTTTTGAATCCATGATTCCGATGGTGTCTCTTATGTATTAGAGATATTCCAGATAGTAATACATAGGTGGAGGAGAGGGGCAGTTTTAATTGAGAATGTTTTTGGTGGATGAGGTCTAAACAAAAACATGTATGTATAGTTGGCATCAGGAAATAAAATGCCATATGGATGATGCGGGAGACAAAAAACAAATTCCAATATTATTACTTTGTTAACTGGTCATTGCCCTACAGTGAACATTTTGCTTTTGGTGAAAATAACTCTCAATGCTAGATGTGTTTCATCTAAATATTAAAGTCTCATCCAAATAAAGCATACTGTTACTTAATTATCCTTGTAAAAAAAAATCTGTAGTTATGATATTCTTAATGTTAGGATGTGTTATCATTGATAGCACCACCTGTAATCATTGGTGGTGTATGTAATTTTTGGTGTTATTATTTATGTTATACACTTTTTCTCTCCAGGGAGTATAGCAATCCTACCTACAGTGTTACACCTAGTGACAGGAGTGCTGAGGGAGCTGTCGGCCAAGTCTTCTGAGCGACGGTCACCTGTAGTGGTCAGTGCCTGCCTTAGCTCCCTCAAGACTCTGTGTTCTTCACCACTGACCACTGATGAAACAGTGTCAGGAAGCTGGATACAGCTGCTGCAGAGCACTCTAGCTACAGTCCTTCATTATGCAAAACCTTGTAAGTGTGACATGGTTCTGTCAATTGGTAAAAAACAATTAAGTTTTATTATCTCGAACATCTCAAACTGGTTTCCTTGTACCAGTTAAAACCAAATATTCAATGCATGTTACTGTTGAACTTAGTTAGATACTAGCCCTGAGGTTTTGTCTGGACCTTTCAACTTTGAGAGAATGAAATTTAATTGCATAATGTAGTGAGCTATTTAATACTTGAACTCATTTACAGGTACACATTGTAGTATGTGAAATGTGTCCATACTGGCTTAGAATCTGCTACCTGACAGCATTGAAGCATAAGGGTGAATTTATTTGTGTGTACCAATATTTTAAAGAAATAACTTAAAAACTAACCCATATATACACATTCAAAAGCATAGTGCATGGCTGTTTACTTGATATTGGTTTCGAAATAAAATAACTGGCTGAATGTTACCCTTGTATTGATGTCTATGTTTTTGACAGCTGAAGAGAAGCCAGGGATGGAGGACGTGACTCTCCTTGGGGTGATCACAGTGTTCATCTGCTGCACTCCCCACGAAGTGGCTAACATACCCTCTCTCAAGGCTCAGTGTGTACAGGTGTTCAAAGATACCTGGGATTCTGACAACAACGAGGTGAGCATGTCTATTTCTGGTATTCCAAATTAAGAAATTTTAGCATTGTTGTATTTATCTAAAGAGCATGAAATGTGGATTTATAATCTGAATTTAAATTTTTCTATAGCTAGCACTGAAATTTAAAAATATAAAACAGCATCATAGGTGGATTCTTCAAACTTGCAGATGTTTTGGTCCAATATTGAAGAACAAATATTGAAAAGTGTAGCTAATTGTAATGAAAATGGTATCGCTGGTTAATGTGTTGTTTAAGTGTGTCAAAATGTCACGATGGTTTTACAGGTGAAACTGAAATGTGTCCAGATGTTTACATCGGTGATACAGCACCTGGACCGTGACAGTGCCACACCTTATATACGCAATGTCGCCTCCAAGATATTGGAGTACCTGTGTAATACCAGTGAGGATAAACGCAACATTGACTCGGAAATTAATCTCATCAAGGGTTCTATACACATGGCCGTGTCACTAGTCGCCATAGCTGAAGAATCTAGACGTGAGTATCAATGAAAGCATTGTTGATGTATGTTAAAGTAAATATGGTATGTGAAATGGGACATTAAGAGCAGATACATTCAAATGGCAGTCACTGTTCTATAAAACAGGGACAGGGAGAGAACATTTATGGAATTATTTTATAGTATAATGAGGTAACTTCATTGATTTGTATATATATACTCACACATTACCTCCACTGATGAACCTCTAAAGAGGTGAAAGCACCAGGGAGGAACTATAAAGAAACTCTTGTTGCATTTTTTTATTTATTTTTCACATATATACATGTTATATTTTATTTTCAAGGTTAAACCTCATATTTTATTCCAGTAATATAATGTACATTTTATAAAAGACTTACATCATCAATCAAATTAAAGTAAATTTGAAATTATAGTAGAATATGGATGAATCCAACACTCACACATATCAAGTTCAGTTTCCTCTCAACCTTCCTATAAAGCTAATTTGAGAATCGCCCTTACACTGGAGACTGATATAGTAAATCAGTGTCAAGGTTATTGTTTTATTGTGATAATGTTTGACTGTTGCATTAATTCATCTTTCAACATTTTTTCAGGTTTGACTCTCTTATCTTTGTTGATGCCACTTCTTGTGTCATTTTTAATGAATGAAAAAACTGTGAACTCAATGTCTAAATCTGCCAAGCTTCTACATGACGAAGCTCTTCAAAGAATCACAACGATCGGTCCAAGGTACCCAGAGCAGTTCAGGACACTTATGGGTAGTCAGGCAGAGCTCAAGACAAAACTAGAGGCAGCTGTGAAGCTCAACCAGGCCAGTGTGAGAGCAAAGCAGGCTTTAGAAAAATCTGCCAAGCTACCACAGAATCAACCTGCACGACCCACCATAGCTTTAAAAACAAACTTCGGCAATTTCACTGGATGAATGGATATTGCGAGGATGCAACACATTAAACGTTACTCAATCTGTGATATTATAAAAAATGACTGGCCTCCTGTGTAGTACACAGGGGTCATCTGTTACTGTTGGACTATTGATATATTTTATATAGCGATGTATAGCTCACATGTATACAGAGTATAGCGGGGGCTTTACAATGATCACTAGTTGTTGATGTATAGTTTGTATGGCTCAAGACTTTTCATATAGTATTCATGTATCCTTGTTGACACGGAGATCAAAACTAATATGTATCAATTTTGTAAATAGCATTTTTCCTCATTTGTACAAATTACCTCATCACATATCATCCAGAACTCATAGTATCTTGTCTTTTGTACCTATTATTTGTAATATAACAGACAGATTGATAGTATTTTTGAAACTGAAATTTAATAGTTGTTGTAATTATTAATTCAAATATTTATTGAATGTTGAATTAACAGTACTTTTATACTGCCAGATCACTATAAACTCATCTTTGTTGCACTTTTATGAGAAGTGCATGCTTACCCAATTCAAATATATATACATGCATCAAATTGTCATCATGCTGTGAGATTATTAGAAAAGTTTACCAAGGAAGAGTGTTTGAAAAGATTCTAGTGCTAGCATATTAGTAAATGTCATTATTTGCATGGTTTTTCTATTTGAGAAAAACAGTGTTTAAATAAAAAATGGTTTTTTTTTCTTTCCGATTTTGACTTAATTTATATCTGGTAGATAAATGCAGAAGATTCAGGGGAGGTAACTACAAACACCTGTGTGGTCTTTCAGTTCTTCATTAACATGTCTGTGGCCGCACACGTATTCTAACAGTGTGAAGGAATCTGTAAATCTTTTATATTTTGTGTCTTCTTACTTTAAAATTTGCAATTTTATATGTCATCATTTGATTGTCACATATTTTCCTCGCACAGGATTTACCTTGTGCTTTGATATGAAGCATGTATAATGTTACACCCACTGTTAGAGTGGTTTTATTGAACAAATGATTTATGAACAAAGACATCAATTCGATAGAATTTGGATTTTTTTTCTATGGAAACAGACAACAGTGCAAAGAAACTTGTTCTGTTGTTGTGTATTATATTAAAGAGTCAAAAACCACTGGAATAAATTGTTCATGGGATTTGTGCACATTTTGCATTAACTTTTAGTTTTCATCCCGATTCCACTATGCAAAAAGCAATTATTCACAAAATATTCAAGATTTACATGATAATATATAGGATACTGAGAGAATGTATATGATTATTGAAATGAAGAAGAGAATGGTTTTGTATGTGTTGAAAACATTATGTCATATAGTTGTTGAATTTTTTAAGATATCTTGAGATTGTGAGTGTGGGGTATTATTATATTATTGATGTTTTTAATCCTGGAGAGTGCTGCAATCACCCGTTGTTTATATCCTAAAGCCAAAGTTAGCCCGTCTTGCACTGTTTTACATACCAAATAAATGTTGTTTGTGATCGCTCGGTGTTTTCCATATGATGCCATTGCTCTGCATTCCATACATGTCACTGTTGCTTGTTTGTCAGTGTTGTTTATAAGATAATTAAGATCTGCTACATTTAGAGATTCATTTCAGGTGAATTTTGTCATTTCCCCCAGTTTCATTTTAAAATTTTACCCATAAGAAGTTAGTTTAGTATTAAGGGCATTGTGTAGCATGTATTTTTACCACTTTAACTGGAAAAACGTACTTATTTTATGGTGTAAATAATAGTATATGTATATATCTGATATTTAGAAAGCTTACATGTTTATTTATGGCTAGTTTTGTTTATTAAATACAGTAGAAACACTTTATTATGTAATACACAAGTAAACAAGTATTATTGTTTAAACCAGTACTGAGTTTGTAGCACTGGTGGTAAAATGATTGAAGTTGTGATTAATGACGGTTCATTAACATATACGTGATTAACATTCATTTACATACAAATTTCATAATTCAAACAGAGGAGTTGTGCAATGATTTACTTGTAAAGGAAATTTAATCTGAAAAAAAATATTTTTGATGTATTTATCTGAACTTCAAAGGTTATTAATTGTTGGTTAAATACGATGAGAAATTAAAAATACGTTTTTAATTGAAATCAAGAAATTCTGTTTACAGGGCAAACAGGATGTTTTGAAGGGTAATTTTTCTAAGATTTGTTTTGTGACTTTTCATATGTTCTCAAGTGGTTATGATTTATGTTTTAAACTGAAAATATAACTGGATTTGTACCATTAATTATTACCGACAGATGGTCAGTTAAACAATTAAACTAACCGGACCCCCAGAACTTGTAAATTATATGTATGATGTTCTATAGGTTGAGCTGTTTGAGTTAGTACTCTGAATATGAAATTTTAAACCCCTGATGAGTGATGGGCAAGATGGTTAGATATTTTCTCAAGAGAGGTGGGATATTTGATGTAGAAATATTTACATGAAGATTTATTACACATAAGTATCATTCCTAATATTATAGAATTCATCAGTTAATCTAAATTATGATTACATAATTGATGAAAATGAAGATAAGTAATGAATAGATCAGATTGGTTAGTGTACAACCAAAGAAAATGTGAAATACATCAAGCTAAACAAATTCAATAATCAAGAGACACAATAAAACTGTTCTAATTGAGAAACCTATTGCTCTAAAGGAATGTTATCAATAATATATCTACATATTCTCTGGTCCGAGGAACTACAGAATTTATATACTATTAGTTTATATGCCCAATAGAAGATTTAAAATAAACTTAATTCTGGTCCATGAGGTATTAATTAGTAGGACCCCTTTTCTGTTTCTAAAGTGATTGGTGCCGAGTATAGCTTCCATTACAATGAAGGTAGGCGTAATGATTTGCTGCTTAATTGTTACAGATGATCAATAAAATATCTACAAGAAACTTATTGACTGTGTTGTTTGTCCTTTATCTCTGTGCGTGTGAGTTGGTCAACCGTGGTACATCTACAGAAAGGTCCAGGCCAATACTTTTATGGCCCATATAACATGAGTACCCTTGCAATTGGAGAACATTTTTCTGAAGAAGAAAACAAAGAAAAACAGTTGCGTGCCAACAAAATAAGAATGAAAAGTCTTCTGTACTATGTACTACATGTATTATGAACCGCTGGTGTATCAACCAGAATTGGGGAGCCTTGTAATTAAAATATGTACATTCTTTGATTCTTGATCGTAATATATATTATGGAATAGTGCTAACAAAAACGGAGCTAGTAAAGCATATCTAGATCTGATTCAGGCACAACAGAAATGAGGCTCATGGGCCTTAGTTATAGTACAATTATTATTTGTTGTAAAGTGACAAAACAGATATAACCGGTACATACAATCCAAGTCTTTTTGGCGGTTTCCTTGACAAATTGATGATACATTGTAATTCCGACCAAGTTTGAATTCTTTCCCACTGAAAATATGAAGAAAAAAATATACCCCATTATTTTCTCTATATAAAACTATACTAGATTTTATTCCCTCCCCATGGGGAAAATGTGAGACCCCAGGGTACTGAAATTCACAATTTTAATAAAGCACCTAAGACCTTTCTATATAGGAAGAGTATTTGATTCCAGAATATATTGGTAGACTGGCTAACCAGCCACAAAGATTTTTATGAAGAATTTCCCAGCTGTATTTGACTACTAGCTTATCTCGCCCTAGTTTGAGAACTTTGGAATCCGACATGTATACAGGTGATTCAGCATTTCTAGAGATGGAGGCCAGTCAATTTTATTAAAAATTAGATTGGAGGCCAGTTCAAATATCTGGGTCTTAGATTTGTTTTAGCCAATTTGACCCATTTTGGACCTTTACTTTGACTATGGAACCTTCCTGCAAAATTTTATGGAAATTGATTGAGTGATTTTGGAGAAGAAGTCAAAAGTGTGAATTGTTTACAGACAGGACAACGCCTGACAAAAGTTGATCTCAACAACTAGGTCAAATGGAATTTGGTCTCAGATGACCTTAAGATACAATTACAATTAGATGAAGAGGCCAAGGATTTTCTAACACTGATAAGGGGGTTTCAACAAGACAATTTTATTTATCAGCATTCATAGCGTCCAACCAGTCGACGTGGTAGCATTATGGCAGCATTACACTTCACATATATCTTGTAATAACTATTGAGAAAACATCACCTCCAAGCGTTGCCTTGGTTACAGGGAACACCAGGGGAAAATTACTGTCGTTTGTTGAAGCACGGACTTAGATAACTAATCTAATTCCGTGTTTGCAAATGAAAATTGGGAAAACCATAAAAAGAAAGTAGAGTATAAACATATCTAGAAAAACGGGAAACCATAAATATAACAAGGCATGACATTAAGATAGAAAGCTCGACCGCAAACTTCGCACAGGGTTTGAATACAACTTGACAATAAAAGCAAAATTAAACCACAAGACTATGGAGAAATCTAAGTCCAAATCAGTTAAAACAGATACCGGTATTTGCGATATGTACGTCATAACAGAATCAAGAATACTTTCAAAGTTACAAGGAATACAATGTAAATGTTTTAGTTTCTTTCAGTATGGCCAATGAAGTGTAGATATACCAAGAATTCGAGAGAGAACAAAATGTGGAAATGATACATCTCAAAGTGCAGGAACATCAAATACAATGGTTGATTTTAAAACCATTGTATTCTAAGCTTCTATCATTCTCCGAAATAATATGTATATTATAAATTTTAAACAAGAGGCCCAGAGGGCCTGTATCGCTCACCTGTTTCTTTTGTTACATGCAACTGACATATAGGTAACTTAAGACCAAATTTGGAAACTAGAACACAAAACATTTTAACATCTCTTAAACGGTTCTGAAGATATTGTTGTTTGAAACTTGAAATCTTAGTGTTAAAGCTTTTAACTCATATTGACCTTTGACTCCCGACTTGCACTTAAAGTTGACCTTTTACCTCATTACTGTAATAAAGAAAACAATTCACACAGCTGGTCTACATAACATACCCAAGTATCATGACTCTAGTCCAAATGGTTCTTAGGATATTGTTGTTTGAAGTTTTTAACATAATTGACACCAGTGACCTT